GAGGCGGCGACAACGGCTGTGATGTGATTGCAGTTGTGGGGTGTTGGGCGGTTTTGGATCTGTTTTGTTGGTGTGGGCGGTGCTGGTGAGGTGGTTTTGATGGTGGTGGTGGATCTGGCGGCAACGATTACGGTGGTTGGTCGCGGTGATGGTGGCGGATCTGGCGGGGGAGTGAGGAGTTGGCACCGTGATGGTTTCTTATTAATAGGTCTGTGAAGGTGTGTGGGTTGGAAATTGTAGTTGTAGTGGGGCTAAAAATGGTGGTTGTGATGACGACGACGATAGTGGAGGCGGCGGCGACGACGACTGTTGTGAGCTGATGACGATGCTGGTGGGGTTGTTGTGACATTGGTGGTGACAGTTTGACAGTGGCGGGATGAGATGTGGTGTTTGTGACCAATTATTTGGTTGATTGTGGTCAATAATTGGTTAATTTTTGACAAATCAATAATATGTGACCTAAAAATTGTGGTTGTGACTGACAATTTGATAACTTGTGATCGAGAAATTATTTGTGATCAATTATTTTGATAATTTGCAATGAATAAATGAGTTATGACCAATAAAAATTTTGATTTTGTGATCAATGAATAATTTGTGACCTAAAAAATTTTTTATTCGTGATTGAGAAATAACGCGACCTATAAATTTCTTGATTTGTGATCGAAAAATAAGTTGTGATCAATAATTTGATAAGTTGTGATCGAGAAATGAATTGTGACTAATTAATTTAATAATTTACAATAAATAATTGAGTTATGACCAATAAAATTTTCTATTAGTGACCTATAAAATTTTGATTCGTGATCAACAAGTAATCTGTGACCTATAAAATATATGATTTGTGATCGATGAACAAATTGTAACATATAAATTTTTTTGAATTGTCTGTAAAATAATTTGTGACGTTGCAATTTTTTATTTGTGACTGATGAACAAATTGTAACTATAAATTTTTTAAATTGTGACCGTAAAATAATTTGTGACATGTAAAATTTGTGATTTGTGATCAATTATGTAGAATTTGTGACCAAATTATATAAAATTGTGACCTTAATATATTTAATTAATAAAATATGTGTTAATTAATTAATTTATAAATAAAATTTAAAAAAATCTGACATTTTAAATTTTAAACTTTAATCTCTTAAATTTGAAATGGGTGAAACTTAACATCTTAGTTATGAAATCTTCTCTTTCAATAATTGGTTTGTTGTGAGCCCATTAACATTTCCATTGAGG